CTCGGCTGTTGGATTGCTAGGTCTGCTAGGGCTAGGGCTAGGTGCCAATTCTGCTGCTACCTGCTAGCTGCTAGCTGCTAGCTGCTAGCTGCCGTAGCTTGGATGCATGTTTTCATGTTTTCGTCCTGTTACTGGTTTTGCTTGCTGTGTTTGTGCGCAGAAGTCCTCGAAGGAGCTGTTTGTTTTGCCCAGCTTGGTGCCATCAGCTTTGCCCACGTATCCGAGACATCGGTGGGCAGGCGGCGAGAGAACTTGCGATTGGATTGGATTATTGGAGGGGCATCATTCCTTATTCAGCCGGACCATGAATCGAATGCTCGCGGATGACATGCCCCCTCCGCGACTGGCTGTGGTTACAGCCCCTGCAGTGGATGCCGAGTCCGGTTGGGCAGCAGCAGCAGAGGAATTGTTGGGCGGAGCCGGCGATGTCGCTTCAGTAGTGCCGAACCTGGACGAGGAAGGTGGTGATGTAGATCCGGGTGCAGATGCCGCCGTGCCTGCGCAGGGCTTTGACTGGGCGGCATTCAATCGCAGTATGCGCAAGAAAGTCCTTTCCTGGGTGACAGAGGATGTCAGCAATATCTGTTTGATGCGGTGGCTGATGAATTACACCACGCGGCTCCTCGCTCGGATGTTCAAGCTCTCAGGAGCTGACTGGGAGCGAGGCCAGCAAACACGGACAGACGACAGAAGTTATCGCATTGTGGAGGCCATGATGCAGCGGGATCTTGATCCAACCTTCGAGGAGTTGGAGCAGGCCTTTTGCCATGTGCCTCCTGCCCTGCCGCAGAAACGTTGGACACGCTCAACGCGCTCGCTGAGCTTTCGGATGTTATCCCGTCTGAGCGTTTCCCTGGACTTCCACTGTGCGAGTCTGCGTGAAGCTTCCCCTTTTGTGGTCGCCGGCCTCTTGTTAGGAGACGAAGTTGCTGAGGGGGTGGCGGAGGAGATTCTCAACATGCCTCGCTGTCTCTGTGATGCACTGACCTTGAAACTGCGGGGCATGTTCCCCACGCCGGCAGAGCTGGCTTCAAAGCGAGCAGTCGCAGTGGTACGAGGACTGGCGCAGTTGGCACGCGTAGATGTCGGCAACATCGAATGTGGGCATGCTTCTGTTCGTCATATTGTGGAGGGCAAGAGCAATCAGACGTGGGATGTAGTTTTGCCCTTGCTGTCTGCAGAGCCTTGGCCACACAAGACCAGTGACTGGCGTTTCCCAGGCTGCCTTTTTTCCAGTAAGTTATTAATCAATCCTGGTGTTGCTACACAGGCTACTTCAGTGGTGATTGAGTACTGAGTACTGCATATTGTGTTCCCAAAGTCTTCCCTGAGGGCGCACTGTGTAACCAACTAAGGGGTACCTCGCGAGACAGACCGCGAAGATGAACGCCC